CAGCGCAACGCGTTTTCAAAATATGAATCAAAATCTAAGAGCGGTTCTCAAAATCCGCATTAATCCTGAATTTCCGTATTTTTCGGAAAAACTAGAAATATTCCTAAAATGAAGCTTTATATGAAACAGTGCGCATTTTAAAGCTCTATCCCTCAATGACAACTAGAGCTTTTCAGTTCAACTGATTCTCGAAATTTGAGTCAAAAACTAAGAGCGGCGCTAAAAATGCTGAAAATTGTTTCGCTCGGTGGACGAGTCGACGAAAAAGAACGAAAATGATTGCGTCACTGCCAAAAGGCTTGGGACAGCCAGACTTACTCTCGACATTCGGGCGACACATGAGGAGGCACATCGTACTTGCAATCCATTATCATTGTAAGCGTTTCGGAGTCGTTGGCTTCCTGGAAGGGCGCCTGACCGCACACCAACATGTAGAGAATCACCCCCAGCGACCACACGTCTACAAATACAACATTTCCTCGATTTACCCTCCAAAGTTTCGCCCAGTTTACACCAAAATTTACCAACGGCGGGGGCATCGTAAGAGTCGCCGAGCAAAATTTCGGGCGCCGAATACGCCAGACTGCCGCACGACGTTTCTAGCTTCTGGCCCGGGTAGAACTTGTTGCTGAAGCCGAAGTCGGTCAGCTTCACTATGCCCAGTTTCTTGAAAAAGACCACATTCTCCGGCTTGAGGTCCCGATGGACCACGTGCAGCTGATGACAATACGCTATGGATCTGACTATTTGCCTGGAAACGACCGAATTTTGCCCAATTCCAGACCGGTTGGATTGCCAAGCCTTACCTGAAATAGTCCTTGGCCTTTGCTTCAGGCAAGCCTTGATCATGCCTGATGATGTACTCGTACAGGTCCCCACCATCGCCCAGCTCTAGGATCAGATAGAGCTTGGTGGCAGTGTCGATCACTTCATACAGTCTGACCACGTTGGGATGCTGCACCAGCTTCATGCACCTCACCTGAAGCAACCTTCGGTTGCTAAACCGGTCAAAAGTTAAACACAACTCAGTGCCTTACCTCTTGGAAAAGATGCGCTTTGGAAACCTCATCCAGCTTGCTCTTGTCGATCACTTTCACAGCGACTTTCTCCCCGGTGAAAACATGCCTGGCCAGCTTCACCACGGCAAAATGGCCTCTGCCTAGAGTCTCCTCCAAATCGTACAGCCCGGCTATTTTACCATCGTAGGTCCTGAGCAAGGAGGAGCTGGACAGCTCGGAGGAGCCATTGTTAGTAGACGAGCCTCCTATCCGATGAAGGCGCTGCATGGTGCTCAAGAGCTGCAAACGCGGACAACATTCATTTAAGCCAATATTTAATCAGCAAATTGCGACTAGATTAAACAATCAATTATCCAGTGAAAAAAACAAATCTATTGAGGCAAATTTCGTTCGCCAAACAGCTGTAGAACTGACGATTTTGACGCCCGAAACATGCTGGCGATAATTATTTTTGGATTATGAATAGTTTCAGTGCAAGTAAGTGGACTCGATTATTTACACACGTGTTGCGACAATAAACGTGTCCGGCACGCATGGCTCACATCTTGTTGAATGTCGTTCAACGGGAAATTATTGCCAACATTCTCTTGGAGATTTCCTTAAACATTGGCAAATATTTATCGCATCTGTGAGTTGAAATATGTTGATTTGATTCGAAAAAATCAACATTTTCACGTCCATAACCGTAAGAATCCTACAGTCGGATGATTGCTTCAAATGGCACGCCCCTCGTAACAGCACTGGCAAATTCCTGTTCAACTAGCCTGCAGTGAGGAGTGAGCGCGACATATCAGTCGCCATGGAAACCCGTCTGTTCTTGTCTGGCTTGCAATGTTTACCAGGGGCGGTCGCTTAATGATTAGAGACGAAAGTCTTCGTTATTGGCAATTTTGGCTGAATTAAAAAAGAACGCATACTAGGTGGGACGTTTAAAAGAACCGTTTCCATCGACTAGCGGCACGCCCCAATTTTAATTAGCATAAACGGTTATCGGGTAATTATTCGCAAGGAATCGGCCACTTTCACCACAGGCAATTACATGTGTAGCAAATTAATTAAAAATCTCGATTTTGCGATAAGCGGCACACGCTTGTTTTCACTGCGAGCACTTTTACTCGGGAGGAGATGCGTGTTTTGTGTAAACTTACTCAGCGGGACGATGCGGTGCAGTCCATGCCAGCAATCCTGCAAAACAGAGACGAATGTTAATTAGTGTTATTAATCGCAGGTTTGTTGAGTGGTGGCGAAGAAGAGCAGGAAACCAATGCGAGCATATCTATTGGGCCGCAGCCGGACGGGCGTTTGTTTCCCATCCGGGACGGAAATAAATCCCGCACCCGATTCACACGTAACCGGGATCCAACCATTCGAATAGTACAAATGGGCAACTATTTTTAGTCGCAACTCGACAGTTTTGCCAGCCAAAATAAACTGTGGGCCCCCATTGACAACGCGACTCGATTCATTAGTTTCCTTTGGGGTTTTTTATTGCACAAGATTTCTTGCAAAGGCTATGCGGACTTGAAAATATGTCTCAACGCCCTTCAGTCGCACGAATACCAGAAGCTGTTAGGAACTATCCAAACCGTAAATGACCCTTTCATGGCACTTTTGATGTTTGAAAAGCAAAAATTACCTTTCTTCAGCTTGGGGACAATTGAAGCATGAACAAGAACCGAAAATGTCAGGCCTTGAAGCTCTGGCGGTCACTTTTCTGGGCTTTATGTAGATTTTATTGCTTCCCAGAACAGCGGTGGTGGGCGCAAATTGCACTTCCTCCTACTAAACTTCAATAAATCACCGGTCAAGTACAAATTGACCCAAAGTGTTCCCCAACATTTTGAACCCAAATTAAGCAGTTTCTTCCCGTCGTCCAGTGGCAAGTTTGCATAGTTTTTAGCATACATTCGCAAACAGAACCTTTGTCCACATTGCCAGCATGCTAACAAGGTTTGCCACTTGCTAAAAAACACCACAAGGTTATTCCGGTACTGTTCGTGATCAGAGGATGACATAACAATTGTCCTCATTAAGCATTGTCGATACCAAGACCAGAATGATCTGGATTGTTCGCTTAATTCCGCTTCAAGAGCTGATAGGCTGATACATTCAAGGCTTGCTCTAAATCCTCTCAGATCAGGATGGATGTTTATGGTGTTTTAATGCGTGGAAATTCTCAATAAAATCGATCATTCCGAATGCGAATCAGTCGCGCCGCTAAATATAAATCAATTTAAATGTATTTTTGGCGAAGCCGGCATTTTTTCGACCACAGAAAGGCACAGGAAACACTACATGTGACGCAGATAACACTATGACGTGAATTGGTGACATCAATTGAACTTTCCTGGCTTCAGATTGAGCGAGTTTCACGCGTTTCACTGGTCAAATGAATGTGGAAGACATTGAGTGGATTGGCCTTGCCCAAGCACAACCGGCCTCTATTTAAGTGAATCAGCTTCCTATCTAAAAATACGCTCTAAACTTGAACTCTTTTAATTTATCGTCTTGGTCATAATATCAGCCAGAATTCCACAGGCCCAAGCTGCGGTATTTAGGTCAGTCTCGCAATATTTGGATCCTTCGGATCCAGACTGGTTTCTGTAAAGTTCCTCATGGCTTATCGACGAACTGCCCAGGAACCTCTCGGGGCTTTTTCGCTACTGAAAACATTCAGGGGCACACTAGGGCTGTTTCTCTTCTAGGGCCTGCTGAATCATCGCTTTTGACCTAGATTCCACCTTGCAAACTCCAGGTATTGCACTAACAACTGGCTTATCTTCCCGATTACTAATCATCTCTATTGTCTCGGGATTATCACGTCCAACAGCCCGTTAGCTGGAACTTGAGGAGGCCAATTCCCCGTCCAGTTTAACCAATTCGATCAGGCCAACTTAAGAAGTCAACTGGGTTAAATGGGCAATTAGTGTGTTGGAAAATACACTCCCCACAGCTCAGAGGACACGCCAAAACTATGAAATTGATCAAGATCGCTACTTACATCGTATTCTGGTGGAGTTTGATGATGTCTCAACACACACACACACGGACACAACAGTTTATTTACTTTCAAGAAAACACTAAATTGCACAGTCTTTCAGACGCTGATCACTATGGTTTGAACACTAGGAACACGGCCTGATAGGCCTGTAGCACCCCGGGGGAAACTACGTGAAATTAACGGAAAAAAATCGCGAATTTTCAGTTATTTTCCTGAGTAGAGGAAACATCTTTTGACGTCCACCACAGACAAGTGTGAACTGTCAGACGGGGTTTTTTGTGTAGATTCCAAACACTAAGCTCAGCGTTGCCGGGTGTGATCCAGAATTCCCAGATCCACACATGCAGCCGGTAGCATAAAACATTTCCAGTTTAGTTTCCAGAAGTGCAATGCCCAAAGGGCACTCTATATGCATAGTAAAAAACCAGCAACTGGTCGAAGCGTGAAATAGCCCCTAATGGTTTTTAGCGCGAGGGAAATCCCCAAAAGACACAATTCAAGTGAAGCGCGGCAACCCTGCATTTCCCATCCCGAGTATTGACGAGGTGTAACTCTGGTTGTCTACGCGCCAGAATCCCCTATACCAGGGAGATATGAGACGGAAAATGCCTTGAAGTGCCTAGGAACTTTTATGGGTTTTAAATCGAATTCACCCCAAATAGCCCATGGCTGCGCCAACTGAGCAAAACACTTCAATAGTCTGACTTTCCCGACCACCAAGCGATTTGTTTGGAGAACCTCTCAGCGCTCCCCGGTACACAATCCAGACGCCCGTCCCTTTTCACCCCATTAGCGTCGCGACGCCTTCAAGGGTGCGGCTTTTTTGACTCACCTTTGCACGGTAGTGGCTTCGAAACGCACACAAAATGAGTTTGTATGCATTGTAGTCTCGATAACTCCTCTAGGGTAAAGTTGGAGTGAAGCTATCGGAAGGGTGTGAAAATGGATCTTAAAGGGAAGGTGGCACTGGTGACAGGTGGGGCGTCTGGACATGGCAGGGAATATTGCAAAGAACTCTTCAAGCAGGGTTGCAAGGTAAAGTTGATAAGCAGTTAATGTGCAAACATCCATTTTTTTCGTGCTTTAGATCGCCGTTTGCGACATTAATGTGGAAGCGGGCGACGATCTGCTGCAGCAGCTCTCAAAAAACGTCAAAGATCGCGTTATTTTCATCCCCTGCGATGTGACCGACTACATGCAGTTTGAAGGTCCCATTAATAGCGCAAAATAACTGACAAAGTCTTAAAGTTGCAACTTTCCAGAAGCGTTCCAGACGACAATTTCCCGACTAGGAGGCGTGGATATCGTGATAAACAATGCCTCAGTGATGAACGATCGTCTGTGGGAGCTGGAAGTGGACGTCAATCTGGTAGGCACTGACTATTAAGGGAAAAAGACTCAGAAGCTGATCAGAATTTTCCAGAATGGCGTCATCCGCGGCCTGCTTCTAGCGTTCAGATTCATGGGGAAAGACAGGGGCGGCCCTGGTGGGATCGTGGTTAACGCCGGCTCGAGCTGTTGTAGAAACCCTCTAGTTTCCCTACCAGTAAGTGTTTTGCACAAAAATTTGTTAAAAATGGGTTGTAAAAGTGCGACTTTCTGTCACTGAAAATTCGTTGTTTTTCACAATAGGATGAGAATGTTGATTCCCATTGCATTCACGCGTACAAAAACTTGAAGGCAAACGGATATCATCCAGCAATCGCCCCTCGTACACATCGCAAGCAAGACAAGAACAGACGGGTTTCCATGGCGACCGCTATAGTGCGCTCACTCGGCACTACAGGCTAATTCAATGCAAATTTTCCCGTGTTGCTACGAGGGGCGTGCCATTTGAAGCAACCAAGCAAATCAAATAAGAACAATATTTCACACAAAAAATCAACATTCTCATGCTGTACTATAATAAAACGACTCTGAGGCCATAACCACCGGGCGCAGTCCTTTAAATGCGATTTTCTCGAGAGAAAACCCTATGCTTTACTATACTTTAAGGTGCACTTTTCATTGACTGGTTTTTTCCCCAAAAGGTCTACACAGCAACCAAGCATGCTGTGGCCGCCCTAACCCGTTGCTATGGTGATCTGTATCACGTGAACTTGACAGGGATTAAAGTGATTTCCATATGCCCCACTCCTACGGAGACTGAAATGGGTGGCGATCCGCGCAAAAGGATTTTAAGTGGCGAATACGAGCAGGCCTGGCTGAGTGACACGTCCAATAGCGCCCCAGTCAAGTTAGTGTCTTTTTTACTTCCGGGCCTCAAAAATGAGTAATCGAACAATATTCCAGGCCAGAACGACTGGGGAAAATCCTGACTGAACTGATCCAGAACGCCAAAAGCGGCTCAAGTTGGCTGGTCTGCAATGACCATCCTCCAAAGGAGCTGCCTTAAGAAAGGCAGCCAACCCAACCAGGTCCAAAGTACTAAACAATCAAACGCTTTTTTTGTTTAACTTCCACAAGCCACTACTTGGACGTACTTTAAGAGCTTTTTATTGATTTGTTAAGGCTTTTACCCTATTAAGTTTGGAATCGTGTTCCGGGCGGCTTAAATTGAAGCCGCCTATTTGTTTGGTCATTCGAATTTGTTCCACCCGGTACATTCGCATTATTTTGAGGGTTTTATTATCTGCGTTGAGTGTTTTTAATGTTTGAGCTTTTCGTAATAAACTATCCAAAAATGAGTGTTACTCGATATATTTCTCAAAACCCCTTATATTTTTTCAATTCTCTCTGCACTTATCAATGGCCCCTGGTAATAGTATAGTGTGCGCATATCGTGGATTGCTCGGCAAACGGCCTACGCAATTCTTAACTTGAGTGCGTTCCGAATCTTCACATGTCAGACACTTACAGCTTGCCGTTCTTGTCCTGATCATTTCCTGCGGCTATAGGCTGTCGCCCACTGATAGAACTCAGCCTTGTTTGCGAACACCATCCAACCAAAACAAATGACGTAAACAATTACGTCACTCACAAAAATAAAAATGGTCGAGTTTGTTTTTTACGGTGTTTAGTGCGGATATTTTCGTGCATTTTTTATCAATTTGCTCGGATTTGGAGGCAATTTCAATCGGGAAGCGTCCAGAGAAGGGTGAGTGTTCTTGTGCAAGCAAACTCAATGCTTACCACTCGTGCAAAGGGGCCGAAAGCTCCATTTGGAGATTTCAAGGTTACCTTTCAGGGGTCAACTAAAGGTATAATATTGATTAACTACGTAAAAGAATCGTCTTCGGCCACTGGCCGTTTATGCAAACCAGCCTCACTATGTTGCTTAGGCACTGCGGGTACTGGTGGATTGCAAGAGTTCGGTTGTGGGGCCCCCATGGGGCTCTTACCAAAGGAGGCAAATCTTTGCTCATTTAGAGAGTATTCGCGCACTCTTTGGCCTAAGGGGTTGCCAAACCTCAGTGAGTCTTCTGAGCCTCTAGGGCTTTACTTATATGGGAATACGAATCGAAGACTGAAATCTGTTTATATTGAGACGGCACGTGCGGTGTTCACGTCATCAATTGATAACAATTGTAATCACTTTATCACTCATCTTTATGTAAATGGTGGCCCCAGTGCAAGTTCAAGTCCAAAATAAAACTGAGAGTCTGTTTACTGGAGTGTTTCACATGTGTCCAATTTCTGCAGACTAAACACCATGACGATGCAACAGTACTGTCTGCGCTGGAACAACCATCAGCCCAACTTCATCTCCGTCTTCTCCAGTCTGTTGAACAGCGAATCGCTGGTCGATGTCACCCTGGCTGCCGAAGGAAAGCACCTGCAAGCTCACAAAGTGGTCTTGTCCGCTTGCAGCTCCTATTTTCAGGTAGGCGCTTCCATCCACTCCACTGTGCCCGTGTTGCCACTCTCTCTTTCAGTCGCTGTTCACCATAAATCCGTGCCAGCACCCCATTGTGATACTCAAAGACGTCAAGTTTCTCGATTTGAAAGTGATGGTCGATTTTATGTACTATGGGGAGGTCAATGTGTCTCAAGAGCAACTGCCCTATATCCTGAAAACGGCGGAGATGCTGAAAATTAAAGGTAAGCCAGGCTGAAATTTTGTGCTTTGGGTTAATGGTAAAAGCGCTTATATTGGCAGGGCTGGCGGAGATTCCGGTCGAACAAACCCTCAGCAAGACTCACAGCACCTCTATGGAGAAAACGGAACTTCACACCGCCCAGGAGTCGAACTGGACTGATGGTGTTCCCATGCAATCCTCCACTCCATCTCCCTGCCCTCTAAGTCCAGGCTCAAGACGGTAAGTCCAGTCGAAACATGACTAGAACCGCGTTATTCCATACTCACTGGGTTAAAGTCTTTTGACTCAAGAAAGAAGAGTTTCTAGTTTAGTCGCGCTTTTAAGTTAAGCCGTTTGATCACGATGAATTACACCCTTCTAGAGGGCTTGGAAATGTCCAAAAGCTGATAATTTCCTACTTTAGTTCGTCACCGGCTCTGCGAGAAGCTAGTGGCTTACGTTGTAGATTATGCCATTCAAGGGCACTTTTTCTTGGGCAAAAGCGCTTTTCTGCCACTTTTCCGCCGTGATTCTTCAGAAACTTTCCAACAGTGAAGACTAGCCATTGACGTTCAAGCTGCTTTGCAGAGCTCTTGACCCAGAAATTCTTGTCCAAGTCCAAAAACTCACCCAATTCAACTGGAGTATTGTTTTAGGAAACGGCTTAGAAAATTATCATCCGGTTCTGGATCAGGGGAACGCACCGAACAGCTGGAAACGCAAGGAAATGAGATGTTGCTCAGCCAGAACGTTGGTAATATATTGGGATCGGTGATAAAAAGCGATCCCGGCGGCTATTCGTCTGACAGTAGGTAAGTCGATGGTGAATTGCGTAAATTCTCCATCACCATTCATGCCTTTACCTTGCAGTAATCTGGGTCATAAAACCAAACAGCACAGTGGAGAGTCAGATCTGCAGCGGGGAAGTTCGCATGAGAGTGGAGAAAGCGAGACTCTACACCAGATTACCCTGGTAAGACCATTTTGGGGCTCCAGAGGTTGTTGATTTAACTGATAATTCTAGCAAGTTCCCCAACATCAGCAACAAGAGATTGGCCATGGCTTGGAGACGGATCCGCCCAGTGAAATCCCTGGATCCTCCGCGTCCAGCCAGCAACAATCCGCTTTAGGTAAGCACTCAAAATCGCCTGTTGACGCGCCTGTACACTTTCGAAGGCTAAGATTCAACCGCAGCGTGAACAGATAGGACTCTCTCTATCCAAAAATGCCTTTCTTCCCATCCTCAGGCGATATTGACAAACAAGGCTAAGCTCAATCAGTTCGGTCACGTTCATCCAATCATTCATCTGCCACCCATTCCAGTTTGCCCAATTTTCCCCGCTTGGCCTGTTTATTTTCCCCCGACATCCATCAGTCGACTCGATTTGTTCACAACTGCCGTTGAGCTTAGTCGTTGACGTTGCCCATGTCGCTCCCCTTGACCCGGCGTTCCTTTCCAGGCCTGCAGTGGAACATGGTGGACCAAAACTATTACAGCTCCTGCGGAAATCCGCCTGTCCCAGACCAGCTGGTCAATGGTGGCGCTTCGAGTCAGAATCAGTGTAATCTAGCCGGGGGCAGCACGCCTCAGAGCCCGGAAGAAGGTGGATTTGTGGCGCAGATCTCCAACTCGCCGCCGCAAATACTGCAGAAGCGAAAGCGCAGCCTGAACCCACAGGGCGAGGAGAATTTCATCAAGGCTTTGAACGCGGTGCGGTTTGGAGGCATCGGGTTCTGCAAGGCTGCCCGAATGTACGGCGTGAACAACCGGACCTTGTGGTTGGAGTACAAAAAGCGCGGATACCCGAACTATCGGTTGAGCATCAAAAATAGAAAGCAAGAGCAGAGCCACGTCGAGCAACAGCCGGCAGTGTCGCAGAGCGATCAGATCTATGTGAAGCAGCAGGAGGCTGCCTATGTGAGCACCAAGCCCTCCAACGAGGCCCAAACTGACCAGATTCTATGCACCACATCCACTCACCCGGTCGCTTTGATCAGTGGGACCTTTTTCGAGGGCAAGCACGTGGATTTGGGCCCGGTTTTACACCGGCCCAAGTTTCTGGACCCTGCTCTGATCAACACCGCACAAGGCATCAACTTTCACAGCATCAACTTCGAGCAGATGTGAGAAAACGGGCCGTTTTCTAGGAAATGACCACCCATTACCAGTACAGATGTAGTCGTACCAGATTAGTCTTCCTTTGGCTGTTCTCAGTTGGAAAATCATCAAAGGGCCAAATGGAAGTTCATTGGCCAACTGCGGCCCGTCTCTGTTTGGTATAGATGAAATTTTATTTTTTATATAAACAAAATTATCTAGATAGTGCACAAAATCGGAGACTGAACTAGGATAGATTGTTCGTGAATTGAGGCATTTAAACTCGAGAGCATTTTCAGTGCCATAGATGCTAAGGTGTAACTGGTAGGGCTAGTTTGAGCCGTTTATATGCAGCGTGTTTGGTCAGTCCTCGCAGATTTACCAAACGCCCTGTATACAAGATGTTCCTTAATCCCCTGCGATTTGTGTTAGTTATACAGGGTGTCCCGTTGGCACCTGGTCAAAAGGGTTTTGGACAACTTTGACCATCAATAGCAGAAATTTTGACCCTTTGAACCTTCTGCTCGCGGGACACCTTGTAGGTTTATACAAATAAAAGTTATCGCTACGATAACAATCGTATATTGACCCTCTTCCCCCCTATTGTACCTATACAGGGTCGTTCAAAGTGCGACTGTGAAAGCGCGATGGAATGGATTGAGTTTGGCGATCGCATTTTGGATTTCCCCTGCCGTTGCTTGTTTAAATGTGATTTTGTAAAGCATTGAAAAGTGTGGAGGAGGAAAACGTTGTTTGCCGTCCCTCAGTTGGTTCCGTTTTGCGCTTTTCAGTGCTATTTTGATATTTATTGCATGTTTTCTTTGTTCATGAGGCCAAGATTTTTTTGAAATGTATCGTATTGTTATTTTTGGTTGGCCTAATTGGTGGCAAGGGTTCTGGATTGTTTCCGGAGCCCAGGAGTAATCAATTGTTTTGGGCCTTGCAGGCTTGCAGTTTTGTAAAATATCAGTAGCATTAACATAAAACCAATAAAACCATTATTTATCTACACTTTCGTTTGTGGCTGCCACTGTATCTGCTTGAGTAACATTTGAGTCCTTGACTGATCGGCAATGATTTGTAGATAAGGCGACAGTGGATCAGATCCTGCAACAGAACCAGCCGCCGATGGGAACCAAACGCGGCAGGTTCCTCATGCGGCAGCCGCGGATAAAGAGGGAGAGCGACTCCAGCCARCCGTCGGATGGCGACTCGGCCTGTTTGCACTACCTCAACGTTCCTCACTCGGCCCGAGTGGAGCGCCAATACTCCGACCCGTTGCCCACCATATCGCCACCCCCCGGCAACCTGCTAGCGGTTCCAGGGGCGGTTTTGGTGAAACAGCACTCGCATCCGTTGCTGCCCAGCCAGGTCCATCAAGTGAGTCGCTTTGCCCGCTCGGCTTTGTTAAACATGTGGCTCATTCAAGTGGGGTTTCAGCCTCTTTCGCCTCCTCTGCACATCCAGCTGGTGCCCCACGCTGCTGCAGAGAGTAGCGCTGAGAGAGCCGTCAGTCCAGTGGTTGTTGTCAGCAACACGCCGTTTGGAGAGCTGCCGAGAGCTGACTCAGCTGAGGTAGCTCCCGTTCGATTTCATGGGGTAACAAGGGGATTTGGGGAAAATTGCGATGTTTTTTCGCGCAGATCGCCAACGGCGCCCAAAATCGCTTGATGAATTCTCTAAAGCTCTAAAGAGACAGAAGCAGAATTAAAAATTTTTATTCTGCATGGCATCCACCCAGCCATTGCTCGCATTTTCGGCGCGATTCCTCCACTTCCCGCCAGGGAACATGCGGGCGTTTCAAATAGTGGGCTGGCTTTATGCTGTAGATGTCGTACTGGGGTGGGCTGGTGGAAAAGTGAGGCGCCTGGTGGGCCTGGATCATGTTCCACACGGCGGAATCTGCAACACGCCCACCTGCAGTGGTTCCTATGCAAAATTTCAAGCCTTGCTCACTTGAGGTGGTTTCGCTTTCCTGATGCTCTTCCTCAAACGGAACCGAATCCTCCTTGAAACTCTGGAAGTCTGTGAAGAAACACTGCCTTTCCCCATTGCTTAGCTGCAGTTCTACTGCTGCGCCCTCTTCGCTCATCAAACCATCCTCCAACTGAAATAAACCGGGCAAGGGATAGACTTTCGAGGCCATTCCTTAAAACTAATGGGTTTTTAGGCCGTCGTACGGTAGAATTTCTTCCTGACGTTTCGCAAGCACGAGTGGCTTGCAGCTTCAACGCAGTAGTTCACATCTTTCCGCTACCTGCCCGATCCGTCTCCGTTTTTGTATCCGTTCATGTTCCGATTTTGCTGGCTATTCGATGAGTATTTGCCATCCGATTGTCGGAAGGAAAAACGGTCCGCATTTTAGGTTGCGTCAGTGATACATTTCGTTTTTAATGGACAATATCGACAGTAAGCTGTAGATATTTAAATATTTTGATTGGGCTTACTGATAGGAATTTTACTGATAGAAAACAAACTCAATTATTAATAATGCACATGATTCGTCGCAAGTATTAATTGTACATACTTTCCTGACTGTGTTTCAACACCAAATCAAAATTAATTCCTGGCTTTCAGTCATTTATTGTCTCTATTTGTCAATTAAAATACGTTTTGGTGTATCTTTCCGCCATCATCAGTTTTTCTAAAATAACAGATAGTTGAAAAAAAATTTCATTAATTTAAAAAACAATCACAGTTCGTCAACAGCCTCATCATATCACACACTAACATACATCGCAATTGCAACACTTTAAAACATTCTAAAATTAATTAGGCCTAACAGGTGATTAGTCAGGACAATCAAATTTGGGAAGAGACTAGAATTCTTTTTTCAGATACTTACATATTTTTACTTATTTGTTGCTACTTTAAGCCTTGGCATACATTTGGAGTATTAATTTTGTCCATTTTGGACACAAAGCGAAATACTGTTTATATTGATTTCTTTAGCTTTCAGCTTTTTTTCTTTGCATTCTGAGAATATTATTTTTGGTTTGCAAAATTCTTCAATATACTGGGTGTTAGTTAATATTCTATGTTTATTTCATTTAATTAATGTATGATATACTAAGCTAAGATTGTCGGTATCCGATCTGAAATTCATAG